CTTTTTAGTATGAAATAAGATTTACTTCATAAGAAAATAAGAAAATATTAAACCTTTAATTATAATAATAAGTAAAAGGGACCCCAATGGAAATAAGTCACTCGTTACTTTTTTTGGGTTATCCTAGGTTCTTACACAATGCTGCTATGTATGATAATTCTATGTAACTGTATTGTGTATACCTGAAATAAATTTACTTACTTACTTACTTATGACCCGCTCACACAGTGGGTAAGGGATGACCCGCTCACACAATGAGTAAGGGATGACCCCGCTCACACAATGAGTAAGAGATGACCCCTCACACAGTGGGTAAGGGATGACCTCTCACACAAGAGTAAAGGGATGACCCACTCACACAATGGGTAAGGGATGACCTGCCGCACAATGAGTAAGGGATGACCCGCTCACACAATGAGTAAGGATGACCCGCTCACACAATGAGTAAGAGATGACCCGCTCCCCCAGGGGGGTAAGGATGACCCCGCTCACACAATGAGTAAGGGATGACCCACTCACACAATGAGTAAGGGATGACCCGCTCACACAATGAGTAAGAGATGACCCGCTCAAAACAGTGGGTAAGGGATGACCCGCTCACACAATGAGAAGAAAATGACCCACTCACACAATGGGTAAGGGATGACCCGCCCTCATAAGGAGTAAGAGATGACCCGCTCACACAATGATAAGTTTTCGCATCGCTATTGGGCCTTGCGGACGTGGCTGCGCAGTAGCCCTGATTGAGTTGGCTTTTGCGCAGTGTTGACGTGCACTTAGCTCTGTGAAGATCTGTTTGCGCGCTCTCTACGAATTAAAAGCAAGATGCCCTCCATCGAGCAACTTTATCAACAGCTTTAAGGAAGAATTGAGGATGGCGAAGGTGGAGATTCGGCGACTGACCGGGGAAAACAAGAAGATTCGTAGTAGTCCTCTTGTTTTGAGTCCTCAGGTCAAGAAGGAAACTGGTCATGGCTGGACAGCAGGGAACGAAGTTGACGATCAAGAAACGAATGGAAAGGTAGAAACGATGAAGAAGAAAGAGACTGCCGGGGAAACTGTTGAGGAAACATCTAATACATTCTCAGTGCTACCCGACGAATGTGAGTCGACTACTGGGAACATCACGATGAACGACACCAAGGAAGGTAAAAATTTATTGTTGTTGTTGGGGATAGCCAAGTTAGGTATATGGATAGGGTTTTTCTGCTTGAAGGACAGGAGTAGGAAAACAGAGAGTTTGCTTTCCTGGGGCTGGGATGGAGGATATTGTTAGCCTCTGGATGACATCATGAGAGGTAATGGGAGCAATCCTATTATCTGTCTCAGTGCTGGAGGCAACGATGTTGGCAGACGTAGGAGTGAAGACCTGATTAGCAGGTATAGGTCAGCAATAGAAATAATTAGGAGTAAGGGTGGGAACCCTGTTATATGTGTATTTTGCCAAGGAGAGGATTGGAAATGAATGGTTGTCCAGGGCAATTGGTTCAATTGCTGCTGGACAAATACTGTAAGGAAAAATGCGGTAACATTCATTGACAACTGGGACCCTTCTATGGCAGAAATGACATGTATGCCAGGATGGGGTGGTAGCACTGGCAACTGCAGTGGAGGGAGCAGTTAGGACTTTAAACTAGGAATAGTTAGTGGTGGGGGTTTTTTGGCAGGAAAACAGTGAAGTCCCAGTGTAGAAATTTATTACGAGTTCTAGGGAACTAGTAAAAGCAAACGAGGTAGATATTGAAAAGCCAGGGACTTTGGGTGATAAGGACAGTAATAGGTTTAGTAGAAAAACAGAAATGAGCAGGAAGGGTAAAGAGAAAGGAGTCTTTCAAGGGTTTATTATGCTAATTGCCGTAGTGCTAGAAAATTAGATGGACGAGTTGAATTAGTTGCTAGTGCAGTAACATTGTTTGTATTTGCTTAACGAGATGTGGTTTAATTCAAAAAGTCGGGACATGCCTGCGGAATGTCATATTCAGGGTTTTAAATTGTTCCAAGTAGATAGAAGTATGTCAATTATAGCTGAGATTATAAGAAGCCATCTCGATAAGCATAGCTTGATTAATGATACTCAGCATGGATTCAAAGAGGCCGGTCTTGTCTAACTAATTTATTAACTTTCTTCAGTAAAGCTTTTGAGGCTGTTGACCACGATAAAGAATTTGATATTATTTACTTAGATTTTAGTAAGGCTTTTGATAGGGTTCCTCACCATAGACTGTTAAAGAAAGTGGCAGCTCATGGCATTGGGGGAAAAGTGCTCTCGTGGATCGAGTCAGGGCTCACTGACGGGAAGCAGAGTGTCCATAAATGGGTTAAGTCCGAGTGGGGATCTGTAACAAGGGGACGTTCCACGGGGAAATCAGTTTTGGGCCGTTGTTGTTTATAATATATATCAATGATCTTGATGAGGGAATTACTAGTGATATGACAAATTCGCCGATGACACAAAGATAGGTGGGATAATTGATTAAAAACGTAGATATTTAGGGGAACTTCAGGAGGATTTAAACAAACTCTATTCTTGGTCAGAAAAGTGGAAGAGCAGTTCAATGTAGATAAATCAGGTTCTAAGCTTTGGGAGTGTTCCCTAACCCTAGAACTTATAAGTTAAATGATGTAGAACTTAGCCATACAGATTGCGAAAAGGACTTGGGGGTTATGGTGAGCAGCAACCTTAAACCAAGACAGCAATGCCTAAGCGTACGTAATAAGACAAAAGATTACTGGGATTTATATCAAGAAGTGTAAGCAACAGAAGTCCAAAAGGTCATAAATGCAGCTTTATACATCATTAGTAAGGCC